CCTCCGCAATATTCAACCCTTATGCTGGAACCATACCAAATTAGTCCCTGACTGCCAAATACAACACACGCTTTACCGTTTCTGTGCTTTCACCCAGTACCTCACTTAAAACCGAATCTATGTGACTTTGTAATTCTTGGAAACACTATGTGATATTGTAATTTTCAGAGACAAAACATCTTCTGTGTAGCATTTATTGTACGCTGCATAATCAGACCCAGGAGCTCAGATTTAAGGAAGGGAGAAACCTCATATTTTTTGACGGATGATTACACACCAGGCCCTATTCTGGATGACTTCATTCAATACCCACAGCAACCTGACAAGTAATTATTTTCTGTAATTTACAGATGCAGCAATTGAAGCTCAGAAAGTTTGACTGCATGGCTAACAGATGGCCATGCAGGAATTCAAATCTCAAGGGCCTGGTCTTTCTGTAAACCCTTCTGCCTTTTAATGATTATAAAACTGTCTAAATCATGTCTCCCAGACTGAGATATAAAAGTATGTAAATAGGTGACTGTTTACCATCAAACTTAACATGTCACCGAGCATTGTCAGGAAATAGAAGATCTATGTATGATCACATTTGATTATGCATCTCTGTTCTGCTGTCTCTTTATTGGCCTCATATCTTAGTCCATTCACATTCAACTCCTTCCACCTACTTTCCAACAGAGCGATGAAGGCAGGTATGTATTCCACAGGGAAGAGAGATGTGGGCAGTTCTCTGAAAAATGCTTTCAACATGACTGCAGCTTCTCTATGGCACATTTTGTCCCATTTAAATTTATCGGCATTAAACTTGGCATCCAGTTCTTCACGGTATTGCTGCAAATCAAGGAAAACAGTCAATATTCAATGAGTTTTCACCACCTCACCCCCTTTCCCCTTTGAAAACTATCATTGCATGAACTATTTTTGTAAATAGACTGATAGGGCAGTATCTACAGAATTACTTTCTTCAACATGCTTCAGGGGACTGAAAGAGCTATGTGCGAACAAATTTTTTTTTAAGTGATTTTCTAAAATATTTTTAGAATAATGTTAATCTTGAAATAATTTTCTAATTCTACACAAATATAAAAGTTCTCCACTCAGATCACAGTTTCCTTTCGGTGGTTTTGGCAGAATACCACTATTCCCACATGATAAACGCACTGCTAGCTTTTGACAAAGCCTCTGCTCCCTTTTTTTTTTCATAATCCCTTCTGCTGTCCTCTCTTCTATTTATAAATTAGATCAGCAAGCCTTGCGTCTCAGCTAGTTCGCATGCAGTGGGGAATAATCCCAATCAAGTAACCCTGACCTCACTGCAACGTGCAGACCGGCGACATCTTCCTGGAGCAGTGACAACAAAGTTTTATTCTGGGACACACACATGTCTCCCACATGCTTGCACACTTGCCCAGTCCTTCATGAGGCTTGGAACACTGTGCAAATACTTTTTAAAAAAAAAATCACTACGCCTCCCCGTAAGTTCTACTTGGCTTACATTATTAATTCATCTGATTATCAATGCCACCCATGCTCCCTGTTTCTTTGTCAAAGTCAAAGTCATTTCCTACTGCTCCTTTGAACTACGAGGTTTACCGATAATACCAGGCAGTTATAGTCAGTCCCCAGACTGACACTAACTGCTCCACAAAGGGTAACTCTGAAAACCCTCAGTTTCTTTAAGACCTCAAGTTTATTCTCATGGGAAGCCTAATTCTTCTGGCCTTGAGCTCGCATAGCCAGAGTCCGTTTGTACGTCTGACCTTTTCCTAACAAGGATTAGTTCATTAACCAGCCACACGTAAATGCTCTAGTGGCTCCCAGAGCCTGCCAGACGGTGGTCCCTGGCAGGATAAGTTTCTTCTGGAGATGCGTGTGGTTCTGATCCACCCTCTGGCCCCTACAGATGACATCAAAAGGAGATTTTTCTTATTATTCTGGAGAAGCTTTCAATCTTACAGGAATATGACAGCTAATCGAGCAATCCTTTGCTGATAAACACACTTTATGAAGCCTTAAGCATACATAGAAAGCCCTGCCTAGAACAAAAGAGATTCGGCACCAGATCGGGCTCTGGGCATGAGATCCATTCCTTGCCCTCAGGCATCTCGTAGTCTAGTGGATGGGACTATTTAATGATGGATAATACTAATTCAGAGTGCAAAGGCTATAAGGTCAATCACCGGTGCTGTGAGGCCATGACAGAGGCGGATCACATTCGGCTTGGGCCAAGACTTGAGGACTACAGAGGAGCCTGCCAGGGAAGCGGAGAGAGAAGGGTATCCTGGAGAGAGGAAAGTGCTCACACAGTGACAGAAAAGCAGGAGAGCCAGTGTGTCTGCAGAGCTCAAGGTCAGTCTTGCTAGAGCATCTAGGGCAAGGAGCAGGGCTAGAGAGCAGCAGAGCCAGTCCTAGGGACCACACTGCACCCTGTAGGCACTGAGGCCACTTGGAACCCCTCTAAGCAAGGCAATGACTATGGGAGATTTATCCTTCCCGACAGCCAGATGAAAACATCATCTGGGGGAGTGTGAAGATTAGCACGGGCGGGGGGCAGGTGAGAGGCACCGAAGGCGTCTGGTGATGGATAAGCAGGTGCAGGGCAGAAAGGAGAGGAGGCGTTTAGAGATGCTGGGGAGGAAACATTGTCAAGAATTGGCAATGGATTGAATATAAGACCCAGGGAGAAAGAATCACCCAAAATGATTCTCCAATTGCAACGGGCAGATGGAAGTGCCATTAACAGGAAACACAGGAGGAACTGCCCAACGTTTTCTATCAACTGCCCGGCACCACTGCAGCCAAGCAAAGGGGACACAGCCCTCCAAACTCGCAGGAAGCACTGGCAGGAGCAGAATTCAAACTCGTTCCCCACATACCTCTGCCAAAGGAATCTGTCTGAATCACGAATGTGACCGTCCTTCTAACCTGGGAGTGGTTCCCCATCACCTAAGGGACAACGCGGCGCCAGAACCAAGGGCCTTTGTCCCCACTCCACACCTGACTAGTGGTGTGGCCTGTGCCTCAACCTTCTCACTGTACAACGGGGGATGTTAAAACGACCCTTTCTGAGATTAAATCGATATTATCATGTAAAGCTCACAGAGCAGGGCCTGCCCACAGGCAGCACTCAATAAATGCCTGTCTGTCCCCTCTGCCCAGTCTATTCTAACCCGCGGTGTCACTACTATGGGAACCCCATGCATATGTGCTGTGACTGCTTGGGCAATAATACCACGTCATCGTGTCTGGATGGCTGGTATGAAACAACACGGAAAGAAAGAATGTCCTCTTTTGGTTTTGAGCTGAGCTAACATTTCACCAGTGGTTTTAAACGTGAAACCATGTAAACCAGGTATGAATTTACCTTGTCAAAGACAGGGAGCACTTACAGGTTAAAAAAGTCATGTTTTTCTGTCTATTGTTAATGAGAATACTAAGTGAGAGTCAGAAGTCGTGTCATTAAATCTCCTGTGAGCAAAAATGCAGCCTGCTTCAATTTTGGAGGTAGTTTTATACACATGCAAATGACCTACCTTCCAATCTCTAACAACAGTTCAGGCAGCGAAACCAACAAGCCAGGTAATGTCATGACAAAACAGTTAGAGCAGCCTCAGAATGATGGAAACTAGTCAAAAAAGAAAACCCTGCATGTCAGTCGGCCTCCTTCCATAAAATACATTCCCTAGTGTTTGGCTCAAATTTCTGTCATTTTTGAAGAGAAAATCATTGGAAACATTAAAGCATTAAATTGATTCCAAATGAGCTGAGGCCTCAAACGCGGGACTTGGCCTTGCAGTTGTGCGTTCTGTTTGGCTAAAACCGGCTGCTTCCTCTCGGGGCCGCTTCCTGTCTGTCTCACCGAGCGTGTAAAGCACAGAGCCAGGCCGGGCTGTTCCAATAATGATAACAGTGAAGTCACAGTGCTGCTGTCATCAACTTGGCACAATTTGAGGATAATTATAGTGGAATTTTTAGTAGTCCAGCAGATGAGTTACCAAAAAAAAGGTAGTTTAAAGTTTGAATAAAGAAGAGAAATAAAGGCCCCTTTAATACCTCACGTTATAATGCCTCTCTGCCTGCCATATTTCACTGGCTGGATTTCTTTCATGTTAGCTTTCTTGGAGCTCAAACCATGAAAACATCTGGATTACATTTTCAGACTAATAAGCAATGGAATAAATAGGCTGAAACTACAGAAAACTGATTAGGGGAGGAAGGGACTTTGACCTAAATATGGCTCAGGAATGCATGTGCCTATAAGAACATTTTGAAGGAATTACGAGCCTTTGATATGCATTTTCCAGTCAAAGATTAGCTAAAGAAAAGTAACTTTTGCTATGATGTTAAACGTTGTGCCCACAAGAAATGTTCTGTAATGTTTTCTCCTTTCGATGATTTAGAAAAAGTGATTTTAAATCATATCCATTATACTTTTCACATATCCGTGCATACACACACACACACACACACACACACACACACACACACACACACACGAACCAGTAAGAATATGTTCAAATACAGCTTCCTAATTTTGGAGGAAGGTTTCAAAAGACAGAATCTGATTCTGTTTAGGAAATTCATTTCTTTGACTTCACTTTTATTCTCTGACTGTACAGATATAACCAAAGATTTGACCAAAATAAGTGATGGCTTTCATCCTTGGATATGGTATATATTTGTTCAGAACCAAACAGGAAAAACCGAGACAAAAAGCTGATTCAGTTTGGAAAGTATAAGCCTTAAGGAGCCATTCCCCTGCCTTCCAGATGAACTTGTGCCAGCATTTAGCCAACTCTGCTCTCTGCTAAGTCACAACTCCCCAGCGTGCCCTAATCCCCGATGTCACTGGGAACGCCCTGGTGGCTGCTCTGATCGCCCCCCAAAAGAGGACTTGACGTTCATCTGCAGAAAAGCCCAGGTAGCCGACTCTCCCAGCTGTCAGCCACTTCTGGAGCTGTCTCCTCCTTGCTCTTGGCAGGAAGCCGAGGAGTGAGGTGGGAGCTGCGGCCTGGCCCATCTCGCCGGCGCAGGGGTCCTCTACCAGAAGGAACCGTCAGACTCGCACCCTGGCCTGAGGCTCACCCTGCCCAGTCCTGCTTCCTTCCCTTATGTATCTCGCAATCACGGTCCCCATGACCCCTTCCCGCTGCTCATCTGTCTCAGCGTCTGCTTTCTGCAGGATCCGACAGACACAGCCTATTTATCCTCAGTTTCCACTGAGAAAACCATCCCATCACACTGCTATATAAAAACCCCGAGACTTCTGATACAAACGGAATTTCCCAAAACACGTACCAAAATGAATGAATGAAGAGATGCTTTTCTGCCTCTATGCATTTCCCTTTAATAGTTCTAAACACGACCAGATTCCTTTTTCCCTCACCCTGAGACCGTTTTCTCAGGGATTCAGGCTTAATGTCCACCAGCCAGGGAGTGATTCGACAGCGGGCGCAGACTCTCCGTGGTGTGCGCCCCCAGCAGACAGTCCGCCGCCTCACAGAAGGAAGAAGGCCAAGCGAAAGGGTTCGCATTACACGGTGGTTTTATGTGTGGATGCTAACCGTACCGTAAATGGAATCGGGGTTTAGAACTGCTGAGTGGGTGTTGCAGCGGTTACGGCCATCACTGCACATTCCTGTAGGAGCTTTCACTGAAGGAGAGCCACGGACGCTTCTAAGGCTAAAGCAACTGACGTTGGAAGAAGGGCTTATGTGCTATTGGCTTAGTGAATTCGGACAGAACACAACAAACTAAGTATTTGAGCCCCCAAACAGGGATGGGACATCTCAACTTTTCCAAACTAAAGGCAAGCAGCCACTTTTGATGGCGAATTGATATGTTGTTTCATTGTTGTTGGTTTTTTATTGTTGTTGTTTTAATTTAAGCAACTTTGGATCATGGAACAAATATTTAACCATAGGTACCAAGGAATATTAGGTAGGACTAAGTGATAGTATCAGATAAACAACAACAAAGACCTAGATACCTGACGCTCATATGGACTGGTTCAGACTAGCTCAGGACTCAACTAGGAAGAGAGAAAACATTCAGTACCTTGACTTTGGCAGTACATCCCGAAAGTCGAAAAATTCCTTCCGATTCCAGACCCGATTCCTCAACTTTCTCAAAAAACTAGAAAGCAATAATATATTACAAAAATAAGTACCTCCATAGGATTACAAACATCTGAAATAACAATGATGACATCAATCAGTAAACTGCCATGTACACGTGCCTGGCACTTGCATGCTTTGTTAAAGGTTCACAACCACCCTATGAGGTCAACATTATCCTCCAATTTGCAACGAGCAAACAGAGATTTAGGGCAGCGATATAACTTTCCCAAGATCAACCTCGAAAGTAACAGCACTGACTCTCTGAAGCTTGTGTTCTTAACCACTATGACATGCTGTCACTTAATAATCTTAAGATCTGATTACTGTATCTCTTTTTTTTTTTTT